ACCATGTTCTGAGATTTCTGTGACAAGTGTCGTGTCCTGTGAAAGCCACTGTGATTCTCTGCTGACAGAGTCGCAGGCGCTGCTGTCACTGCATTTATGAAGGGAGCACTACATTTCAGGTAGAGGCGAGTCAGAGCAGAGTTGTCATTTTTCTCCTGGTCTCAGGTTAAGGACAATATGGATGGTACGTGAGTATTATCTTTATGATTAACCCTCTACCTTTACAAACAAAACTTTAAATAACTGCTTACTAGTCACTCCCATCCTCCACAGGCACAGATTATGAGAAATTTAGTTAGTTTCCTGGGTTGTTGTAAAGAATCTTGTTGCGAAGATACTTCTATCAACCTGTGGGTGGATGGCCTGAAGCAGAGACCCAGGTTCTCGAGTCTGCTGCCCTTTGCTTGGGGATCATGGCGGCCTCCGTCCACCGGGTGTTCAGAGCCTGCAGGAGGGACACAGAGTCCCATGTGAGGGACACCGCACAACCCTGGGCACAGAGCAGCAGAGGGCTGTTTGACATCACGCTCTCCCACAGCGGGCCACTGCTGCCTCCATCTAGGGCCAAGGCAGGGTGTCACCTGGAAGGAGAAGCAGCAGACTGCTCACTTCTGACACAGGTGAGCTGCTGCATGGGGTGGGGTCTGAGTGTCTGTTTAGAACGTTCACCTCGGCATGGAAGTGAGGAGTGAATGGGAGTCTGCAGGGAGCAGGGACGTAAGTAGGACCAGCAGGGTCCAGGTGCTCTCATCTACCTGGGCAGACTGTAAATTCCTTAAGGGCGGGGACCATAGCTTCAGAAGCACTGTGGCATCATGGTGCGAGTCGGGGCGCCAGAACTCTGTCACTTGCTATTACTTAATAACTTCTCTCAGCCTCTGTTTCACAAATGTGCCGTGGGAATATTAACAGCGCTCCTTACAGGGTTGTTGTGAGATTCTGTGAGTTAATATGTGTGAAGTGCTTAGTAAGAATTGAATAACATTGGGCATTGTTTTCCATCTCTTCAACCCAGTGAAGGGTTTTCTGTGCTTGGCACAGCAAAGAAACACAATGATTTCCTAATGATTTTAAATGATGTCAAAAACTGAAGAAAGTTCAACAGTGGGGTTAACTCCTTTTAGTACAACAGTTGAACCAGATTTGTCTTTGGAGCCATGGATAGGACGGTGACTGTTGGGGCAGATCACATGGGTTCAAATCCAGGCTCCATCACTTAGGACTGTGATGCAATTAGGAAAGTATTAGCCTTTCTCTACCTCCCTGGTAAAATAGAGAAAATTACAGCATCAATCCCATAGGCTTTCTGTGATAATTAGATAATCCATATAAAGCTTTTAGCGCAGTGCCTACAAAATAATATTATTTGTTCCCAGTTATTTTATGTTTACTCTGCAGCACTCTGTTCTGAGCACTTCGCTGGCGTTATCTCAGTCATCTTTACCGCACACCCAAGAGGCAGGCACTAACACTCCCCCCATTTGCCAGGTGGGGAAACTAAGGTCTGACGGGATCACCCAGCTGCGGCGGAGCCAGCTGGCGCACAGGCCTGCAGCATCCGTTACGCTGCCTCCAGCTGCATGGGGGGGGGCTTTTTCAGTGGTGTCGGAGGTGTGGGAGCATCAGGGATGAAGGGAAGGGTGAAAAGAAAAAGATTCAGAGAAAAAAATTTAAAAGAGGACATTTGGGGCGTGAAGGGGGAAGGAAATGAATTAGCTTGTGTTTTCAGCTGAAGAAATGGAGGTCAAGGTTGAGATTCTTACCAAAGCACTGCTGGGACTCGGAGGTGAAGTGAAGGTTCCGTCAGCCTCTAGACACCTCAGCTCCCTCACCTCATCTATCACACACACACACACACACACACACACACACACACACACACACACACAGCAGTGAGGAATAGGCCTCGTCCATCTCTCTGATTTTTATTTTAAGAATTTGATTTTAGTTCCATGTACCTAGCCTGTGCAGAGATGAGATGGCAGGGAATGACTTTTTTGGGGGTATTGTTCATTTTATTTCTGCTAGGTCAACAAAACATGCTTTGTTGCCTCGAGGCACTAAGGCAGGCTGGCTAAATCCTTCGTTACTATAAATATTCTCTTGATTTATGAAAAAAAAATAAATGTGTGTTGATTTTGACGAGTGAAGCTACAAAATGTATACATGGCAATGGGCCCTTTTTTTTCCAATGTGCGTTTCAGTGTGGCCTTTGGATATGAGCACCAGATAAAGCATTTGAAATAATGGCATCGGCACTAATGAGAGAGATGCAATAATGTGATTGTTTACTGAGTGCCTGCCTTGTGTTAGCTATTTTACTGGGAACTTTCTATTCATTGTGCTATTTAATTTTCTCAATGAATATTATGAGAACAGACTTCTGATTAAAGATATTAGATTAGGCACATGCATTTATAGCCACTTTCTTCTAAAACCTCATTAAGAAGACAGAAGCAGTATCTTATATTTTGTTTTACTAAATAAATATATCAGGACAAAGGAAGCAGAAGAAAAGATTATAGAAAGAACATTGGAGAATCTGAAAAGCAAAACAATCGTGTGTGCTCTATCTTCTGGGATTAGGTTTGGCTCAAGTGGCAGAACACCCGACTTAATAGTGGCTTAAACACATGAAGTTGGTTTCTCCTATGTAAATATTGGAGACCACAGACTAGTCATGAGAAATCCATGAAATTCTCATGGGATTAGGGATGGAGCTTCTTTGTAGTTTTCTTCACTTCTCTGGGAATGACCCTCATTTCATGGCCCAACAAGGCTGCTTGAGCTCCATGCATCACATTCATTTTCCAGCTGGAAGTAAAGAATAAAGGTGGGTGAAGACAGACATGCACCTCAACTTAAAGACACTTCTCTTTTAGGTGTTTATGACAAGTCTTTCATACAAAAATTAGTCTGTGAGGGATAGACATTATCTAAATTTAGTAAGCTGTTTTAATAAGTATCTTTATGATTAACCAGAGTCGATGAACTAACATTTATTAAACAAATGCTGTGCTTGAAATTTCCCTAACTTTGGAGTCTGAAACACTCAATACTATGCTAGGCCCTTATTAAGGATGCTATCTAGCTCCAGGATGAACTGTGGGAATAACCATAACCAGGTAATTTTATTTCCCTGGTCTCGTGTGCTTGTCAGCGTGATGGAGGAGGGGGAGCCTTCTCTAGTCAGTGGCTGACGTGTGGAACGAGATGCTATGTCTAAACCCAGGGCAGGTCCCTAGGAGTAGAGCACGGTGGTAAAGAGCTTAATCTGATGGCTTTTATAGACGAGGAGGAGGCAGAGAGACATACCCAGACCGTTTCAGTGCTGCGCACTAAATGCTACGGCAGAGGCAAGTACGGGATTCTACCTATAAGAACACAAAAGGAGGGTGTTATTAATGATGGCGATTACTTATTGCTTCTTAAAACAACAGTATTTATGCTCCCACAGGTTCTGAGGGTCAGGAAGTCAGGGATGGCCCAGCAGAACGGTGCTGGTTCAGGGTCTCTGGTGAAGGTCCATCAAGGTGTCAGTCAAGACAGGGCACTGGGAGGTTTGATCAGGGCTGGGGGGTCTGCTTGTCTCTTTGACAGAGCGGGGCTGGGAACCCTCACCTCCAGGGGGTTTCTCACAGCAGTGCACGTGATAGCGCTCACACAATGCTTTGTGTGATTATCTGTGTGCTTTAAAAACATCGACAGTCTGAATGTGCTTCACGGTAGAGTTTTTTAAAGTTCTTATAGTCAAGACCTAATCACCACCAACAACAGTGATAGTAGCTAACATGCAATGACATAACAACAATAATAGCTAGCATTTAATGACATGACCTTTAGTAATAATATCTGGCTGTGTCGAAACAGACTCACTGATGCAGAGAACAGACTGATGGTCGCCAGATGGGAGGGGGCTTGCGGGGCCGAGTGAGAAAGGTGAAGGGGTTAAGAAGTACAAATTGGTAGTTATAAAATAGTTACAGGGATGTATGTATAGTACAGCATAGGGGATGAAGTCAATAATATTATAATAATTATGTATGGGGTCAGGTGGCTGTTTGACATATCAGGGATCACTTTGTAAATTGTATAATTGTCTAACCACTGTGTTGTACGCTTGAAATGGATATGAAATAATATGGAAGGTCAACTGTAGTAGAAAGATCATTGCTAGCTTTGTGCCTGGCACTGTGCTGAGTGCGTTTTAGTCATCACTTCTTTTTTCCTTTCTTTATATTCCCCCAGGTTCTGGGGTGAATCTTGGGCTCCAGGGCCTGGAGTCTTTGGAAGAATTCATTTGCAGGTTCGTGACAGCTGTGGGTCAGAGTGACATCGTGGAAGCTTTGTCTGCTAAAGCAAGACACTCTAAATGCGTGGTGGAGGACTGGACTCCTCACCACAAATTTCAAGTGTCCGGGGAGACTGGACTGTCCCGTGGAGGGGTATTCTTCTCCCTAGAGGGGAGAAAGCAGCCTGGAATGAAGTCAAGCTGAAAAAAGAATTTTGTGAATGTTGGTAAGTTAGCAATTAATTATACAGTAAAGCTACACTGAAGCTTGAGGCCTTTAAATCTGAATTAAGCAAATGAAATTTCCAAACGTAAGCATCTGGTTTCCAGAAGTCACTGCAATGGATGTGCTGAGTTCGCCAGGTGAGAGTGCCTCCTTGTGGCCCATGAGAAAGTGAGCATTGCTATTCAGGCCCCGGGGACTTCCATAGACAAAATCACTGTCTCCCGAGGCTTCAGGGAATCCGCTTCTCTCTCTATAAAGCAAATGCGGCAGAGGGTTAACAATGATTGTGTCTAGGTGTGCGTATGGGGTGGGGTAATGGGGCGTGAGTATTCATTGTACTGTTCTCTCAAATTTTCTGAATGCTTGAAATACATCTTTTATAATAAAATGTGTTGGGAAAAAGGGAAAATGCATCATCAGAAAATAATTAAAATAGAACAGGCATAATCGCATGGAAAACAAAACAGAGCCTTTTAGGTGGAATCTATTTAGCTTTATGGAAAATTCACTTCTTTGACCTCATTTTTCTCGCTTTCCCATGGAGGAGTGAGGACGCCTGCACGTCCGTCGGAGCACCGGCACCAGGGCCCCTTCTCCGGAAAGGCAGCAGCACCAGGGCGGCCCGTTGAGAGGGTGAGTTTGGTGCAGGACCCTCGTTTGGATTCCAGGCTCAGCCGTCGCTGGGTTTTCCTTGCCGATAATTCCTCGTGCCCCAGTTCTGTCATCTGTAAAAACCCGGTTGATAATAATGAAATAAGTAAAGTTAGTGACTGGGCCACTGTCACACACATTACCTGAGTGCGGCTCCAACAATAAATTGCAGGCAACGCTCTCACTGAAACTCTCCCCCTTTCTTCATACCCATATGCCTTGGTCCCAACTTCTCTTAGAAGCCTCAGTCTACACATCTGTGTTTGTCTGATCTTAATCGACTGACTTGTGGATAGAGGGGGTGTTTTGTTTTTCTTGGTGTTTCTCAGAGACAAAGCATCATTTGTTCACTTATTGTGTGTTTGAGCAAACAACTGAAATGCAAACACAGCTTCCTGTGTAGGTCCCATTGACCAGGAGAGAGTTTTCCCCAAGAATGCCGTTCAATAGTCCTCCTTACTGTTATCTCCCATCAGAAGTTTATTGGAAGAGTTGGGAAGCGTCCCTGGTTTCCTTAGCATATTAAGTTTGGCACCAAACCACAAGGCTTAATTTCCCAAGGAACAGTGACCTAAGTTAAAGTAGGTTTTGCAGAATTGTTGGGGTGTTTGTGTGTCCGAAGGGGAGGGAAATGACCATCGCTGAGGTGATGATAATGAACTAAAGAAATGTGGCTCCAGGACTGTGACATTGCAACTTGAACCCGCTCCAGGAGTGAGGCCAAACTGCTTTCAGCAAAACTCGATCAATCTTAAATTCATCAATTGTCAGTTATTGCACAAGTGATCAATCAAAAAGAATAGGCATTTTAAATGTAGACATCCATGTCAAAAATTAGGCTTCAGTCTTTTTTTCCTTATTTTTTTATTGCGTCCGCTATTACAGATGTCCCCACTTTTCCCTCCCTTTCCCCACCTCCACCAGGCGCCCTTGTGTGTTCTACGGCTTTTAGTCGTTTAAAAACATGGGCCGATAGGGCCATCTAGTGGGCACTTGTATAATCACAGTACATTTTTTCCTTTAACCTCCTCACCAGTAGCCAATGTGAATCAGTTGGCTTTACAAAAACAAATCATTCTTTAGTCTTCTTTAGACGTACATGTTAAAGACCTCAGCTCATTCCCAAACTTCAGGTTTCTCAAACCCATAGTAATCTTGCAAGCTAAACAGGGCTTGCTGTCTAATAGGTCCTTATAAGATCAAAGTCAAAGCCACGAGCAAGTTAAAGTCCAAGGAGCACAGAAACTCTAATTAGAAGTAATACAGTGGCTTCTATATAAGTAAGTAGAAGAAGCCAGTAGAAAGAGAACAGAAAAATGTAGCCCGTGAGCAGGGAGAAGGGGAGCAAGAGACCATGAAGCCCACGAGGGGGAAAAACAAACAGCCTGGCCTTGGGCTCCTTTGGGCCCTGGTAACATACTAATTTAGTTCATGTGCACCCTGCTCAAAACTTTTGATGAGGCTCTGTTGCTTGCAGTCAAGCAGGACATAAACAGTATCTGTTTGTGAGGCATAAATGCTAAACTCTGGCGTGCCTTCTCTCATGCGTCCCCAAATACCCGCATGTCTTATGTCTTTAACTTTCTGGTAGAGGCTCCAGACAAAGTGCAGGAAGAGAGGAATCAGACGAGGTCATTATAATCATTTGGGACCACTGTCAGTGTCTGGGCCACCCAGCCAGGCTTCTCTCAGTTCATGTCTCTCATCTATGGCTGGACCAGGACTTGGAGAGGCAGGTGCTCAGACAGTGCTGGAGAGCTTGGCAATCAGAACCAGCAGTATCTGACTACCAACCTGTGACTCTGTGGTCAAGAATGGGCCTTAAATAAATCTCAGTGTTTGATTCACAAGTTAGTAATTTTCCTACTGTCCGTGTAGACAGTGGTTTTTAACTAGGGGAACAATTGTCAGTCTGGAGACATTTTTGGTTGTTACAGCTGCAGAAAGGGAGACATACTGGCAGTTAGCGGGTAGAGCCAGAGATCCTGCGAAATGTCCCAGGACGCACAGGAAAGCCCCCTAGAACAAAGAATTACCTGGTCCCGGATGTCGCTAGTGCTGAGGTTGAGGAATCAGCTGTTTTAGTCCCATTGGCTTGACTGCAGGCAACAGAGATTCATTCAAAACTTTTTATCGGGGTGCACAGGAATTAAAATGTTATCAGGGCCCGAAGGAGTCCAAGGCCAGGCTGTTTTATTTATTTCTTCTTCCCCCTGGTGTCCATGGCAGGAGAAGCATAGAGGGAGTATTGTTTAAGTTGTGGGAAGAGCAGAGGGTTGGCCCAAAAGTTGAGAATTCTATCAAGGGGGCCGCTACCCAGTTTGGGGAAGATGCTGTACTATAATTACCTTTGTGCCAAGTCACAGGCAACAACTGCCGGCAGAGGCTCTGGGAAGGGCAACCCAAGACAAAAATCTAAGCAGTCAGTCCCTGAGAAACTGAGCAGAGGCAGAGATAATGATTAGAAAATTGAGGCTGATTATTTTGACTTCATTCCCCAACTCCCTTAGCATTAGGGGACTTTATGTCCTCATTTCCTGTTCATATCTACCAAAGGAATAAATTGGCTTGGGGGACAGGGGCAAGGGGTTAAACGGAGGTGAACAGAAGAGCAGCAAATGAATGGTAGCTTATTTAAGCACATGGATTTGGAAAGAGTGATGTTTTGATAGGTCTGAGAGGGGATGGCTGACTATTAAAATGAACACATACTTTCACCAAGTTACTTTTGGTTTTTCAAAGTAAAGGGAGTCTCTTCCCTAAAGAGCATGCAGAGCAACATTTGCAAACTATCAGTTTCAGGACTTGGAGAAAACAAAAAGCAACACTGCCCCTCACTCCCCACCTTTAAAATATGTACTTTTTATGAAGGAGGCTTGCATTCTTCTGAGACCCAGGACAGAGGAGAAGCCAGTCAGTAGACTTCCCTGTAATGCTGAGTGTGGAACAAGTTCCAAGGAAGAAAAGTTGAAGATACGCTCTGGTTTTTGACAAAGGACATTGTAGGGTACTTGTAGGTACTCCAAGAGGACTTCACAGCATCCACTCTGTAAATGTGGAATTTTGTTTCAAAGTAGGTTGATTTGTAGAGGGCCAAACCTAATGAATCACATTCATTCATTGTTCATTCACTTCATTTAGTAACTTGTTGATTTAGGCAGTACTAGAGATAGAAAGAAGCATAAAATATGCTCTGCCAGTTTAGTCAGGTGTATGCGGGTAAATAAATAATTGTTAAGTGTTAGCCCTTTGTTATCAACAGACCGAAGATGTGGCTGTGACTTCTGCCAAGATTGGTTACTCAGGCGAGTGAATTTGCATTTTTAACCATCTCCAAGTTTTCTAACATTGTGTTTCATACACAGAAAGTTTGTGAATCAGCCTGGGTGATGGAGGGCCCAAAAGGTTTCTGAGCAGGAAATGTTCACTCTTTACAATGTCCTGAAATAAGAGCAGGTTAGAGCCCAGAATATCAGAATCCACACAACCTTTCTTTCTGCTCAGCTAGTCTGGCTGCGTCTGGACTACATTTCCCAGGATGCCCATTTATAAAAGATCCTTCAGAATTGGTCAGAATGCTGCGGACCTGTTACGGGTCGCCCAGCAACGGGGGTGGTCCGGGCTAAGCCTGGATGTCAACGCCCCTTTCCTGCAGCCAGGATAATGAAGATCAGAGCCACCTTCACGGTCATAAAACGTCAACAGACCTTACTTCCAGCCAAGCGGCAGTGCAATCTCCACGGCTCTTTCTCCACCCTTCTTCTCAGGCCCCGCCCCTTTTACGCTAGCAGCGAAGCTACGGAAACTGGATTACAGCTACCGAATCGTTCAGGCGGCTCTGGGAGGCGTAGTACGCAGGCGCGAGCGGTTTTGGGTTGGGACGCGCGCGGTGCTTGGTTGAAGCGGGAGTAAGTGACTGGGCGCGAGACCCTGCGGCGGGCGGTTAACTGACCAAGTGACCCAGCACCTCCTCTGCTGCCATGGCAGCTCTGCGCTACGCGGGCTTGGACGACACGGACAGCGAGGACGAGCTGCCCCTGGGCTGGGAGCAGAGAACCACCAAGGACGGCTGGGTTTACTATGCCAAGTAAGAGGGCCGCAGGGGGGCCGCCGGGCGGCCGCCGGGCCAGGGACACACCTGAAGTGAGACGCACCTGGAACCTGACGGCCTCACGTGCCCGGGACACTGCACTGCTCTCGAACGCCACCTGCGCGGGGCGGGGCGCGGCGCAGGCCCGTGTTCCAGCTTGGAGAGGGCGGGCGAAGTGACAGTGCTGTTAAAGAGCTTCTTGGGTCCCGAGGAGGGACCGGTCTTCTCTCTGGGCCCTGGGTCGAGCCTTGGTCACCTGGCAGCGGTCAGGCACGCCCTCTGCTGCTCAGAAGGCAGCGCTGCACAGTGCAATGATGGCACACCGGTCTTATCCCTTCCTCCTCCAAAGAACAGAAAAAAAGAAAAAAATGCAGATACCCAGCCACTTTTTCGGGGTTCTGGGGAGGGGACCTAGGAGTGTGTATTTTTATCAGGTGTCCTAATATAGCTATGGATATTTGTATGCATATTTGTGTGTACATGTTCTATAGCTAATTCATTATCGTTTTTCTGGGAAGGTTTTAGAAACACTAGTAGACCCTTTCTTCCTGCACTTACTGTGTGACCTAACGCCTTTGAAAGGACTCTCAGCCACAGCTCTCTCATCTGTAAAATGGGTTTATATGAGCGTTTTAGCGCAGTAGTGTACATAAAGCACGTAGCTCAGGTTGAATAGGTGCTCTAGGCTTAATAACTGTTTTCTGCTGTCTCTGTAACCTCCTTAGGCCTGATATCAGAATCACCTGGGGACTTTTGAAAGTACAGGTTTCAGGCTTTCACAAAGACCTCATATAGCAGACACCTAACATGGGAAATCTGTATTTGTTAAGCTTTCCAGTTGATTTAGGTAATGACTTGGCTTTGACAAACATGGATGTAAAATAGTGATTTTGCAACATCTAATAAACTTAAGAAATATCTTTTCCTTGGTTCCACATCCAGATATTCTTATTGAACTGGTTTTCCCCTCCTCCCCATTGGTATGTTGCAAACTCTTCCCAGGTGATTGCAGTTTACCCAAGGTTGTGAACCGCTGCTGTCTTTGGTGGCTTGGTAGAAAGAGCAACAGCAAAATGAGACCTTGCTGAGTTCATTCATTCAGGACACCGGGATCTTTATTGTGTGCCAGGCCCTTTGCTGGGCCCTGGTTGTACTGAGATAAAGGAGATCCAGTCATCACCCTTAATGAGCGCCCAATCTCAATGGGCAGAGTGACCCAGCGCGGGAGTCCTGGTGCAGTGCATGTAGTGACCAGCAGTCTGTCTTGCAACTCTACTGGGTCACCTCACAGCTCAGGCGAGGTGACCTGGTAGAGTTGGCACCTGAGCTGTGTCTTAGGGCACAAGGAGAAGTGGGCGGGTGAGGGGCAGGAGTGCAGCCCAGGTAGAGGAAACAAAATAGAGCCCGCGCATGGCCTCTGTGGTGATGCAGGAACCTGAAGATCCAGGTGGAGGGGGGATGACCTAGCTTATGAAGGCCCTGCTGTGTCTCATGGAGGAGCTGGGACTCTGTTGTCAAGGACCCAGGGCCACTGAAGGATTGGAGCCTGGGAGTGACGTTGGGTTTGTGTCTTTAGAAAGATGATTTCTGCTCTGGATTGCTGAGGGGACAATTCTAGCAGTAAGGGGTCATTAGACTGTTGCAGGGCTCCAGGCAGCTCCTGGACAGGCACTTGGTGTTCCCTCTGCCTTTTCCTGAAGGGCCCTTTCATCCCTCAGAGCTGGGCTTAAATGCACTGCCCAAGAGACCTTCCCCTTTTATCCCACCCCTGCACCCCTCCCAGCACCTGGTCATCTGCCTGCTGGTACTTAGGTTGTCTGTGGTTATCTAATCTTATTGCTACTGGTCCCTCACTGCTCTGTCTCCCTGCCTGGATTGTAAATATCTTGAGGGCAGGGGATTTTCTTGTTCATCTCTGCATCCCCAGTGCGCAGAAGTTGTGAATTAATTCATCTAGTGAAGGTTCACCATGGGTCTCTGTGGGGAGGTGGTGTTCTGGGAATGAGAAGATGCACACAGCCCCCTCCCTGCTTCTGGGGCTCTTCCTCCGCTCCTCTGTGTGGGGCCTGTCCACTTAGCACAGAGGCTTCCTGGCCTCCGCTCAGGTTTGCCTGAGGCCTGGTGGTGGGTCTGCAGGCTCCGGAACATGTGCTCACTCTGCCTTTCCCCCTGTGCCTTTTCCTATGTTGGGTGGCCTGTCCCTCTGCTTCCTTCCTACATGTCATCCAGAGTCTGGACTTGGGGCTTTTCTTTCACGAAGTAACATCTGCACATGCCAGCCAGTTCCTCTGAGAGCTTTCAGGGAGTCCATGGCCAGGGGACTCGATGACACATACATGCTCTTTGAAAAGCCAGCCGCTAGCTTCCACCATTGGTTTAGGTCTTGAACTGGCCTGTCTGTCCCCTATGTTTATACTGACTGAGGTGACAGGGCTTGGCTGGCTCCCAGCTGAGGGGTTTCTCTCTCTAGTCCTCTGTTCTTTGGCTCTCGGGGCTGAAGGATACTCCTGGCCAATCCTAATCCTGGATTCCCATTAGTCCCCTTGATCTCTCCTGACCTGCAAGCATTCTGGCCCTTCTTTTCACCCCCAACTCTGGATGATGTGTGACTCGTCTTTCTCTTGGGGTTTGGGAACCTTCACAAATAGACTGTCAGAACACAGCCCTTCAAGTAGTTCCTGTTTCCAGATTGTCTTCCTCCCATTGCAACAGGGCTGTGCCCAAGGACAGGGGCCGTGGCCCTGGGAGAGCCTGGGCTCCGGTGGAGCCTCCTTCAGCCTCCCCCTCTTCTTTCGTGTGAGCTCCGTGGGCTCCTGTGCTCCCCGCCTGCCCCACGGTGCACCCAGGGGCCTCAAGGCACATACGTCATATGTCCCAGGACACCAGTCTGGGCTTCCAGGGAGAGGACGCTTCTCTGCCACTGAGGGTAGACCTGTCACCAGGGAGAGCTGATGGGCCTTTCTCCCCTGCTGCTGCCTTAACCAGGAGAGGGGGACGGAGGATGAGATCTTGAGGGCTGTTGCTGCAGTCACCGGGGCCTCCCCAGACGGGCCACCCAGTTGCCCTTTTCTTCTGAAGCCCTCCTGGCAGCCAGAGGGCCAGCTGGCCCGGCCCTGTGGGGAGATGGCCCCTCGTCCCAGGGCCGGCTCTCCTCACAGGCGGCTCTGGGTCTCCCAGGTAAAGAAACTACGCTGACCAAAGGAAAAAAACCCCAACAACTTAGAAAAGCATCCTTGAAAATGAAATGCATGTAATATGGTGTGAATTTAATTTTGATCCCTTTGGCCTAAATTAAGATCACTGTTAATTATCTTTTTAAATGACAAAAAGCTTACTAAAAGAAAAAAGAGTAAAAGAGGGTTTCTACTTAAGGGACAATAAGATGACACTTTGGGGACGTGTCGTAATTTTCTGTTCATTAAAAAGTCACTTTAGGTCACAGTTCAAAAGAACACCTTTTTTTTTTTTTTTTTAAAGATTTTATTTATTTATCTTTAGAGAGAAAGGGAAGGAGAGAAGGAGAGAAATATCAATGTGTGGTTGCTTCTCATGAGTCCCCTGCTGGGAACTGGCCTGCAACCCAGGCATGTGCCCTGACTGGGAATCGAACCTTGATCGTGTGGTTTGCAGGCCCGCCCTCAATCCACTGAGCTATGCCAGCCAGGGCAAAAGAACACCTTTTAATTAATTTTTATATACAAGTATTAATTTAAAATAATATTTTTATGTGAAAGGCATGGTTCTTAGTTCTTCACACATTAACTCATTCAGTTCTCTTTAACCCCGAAAAGTGGGTGCTATTATCCTCATTTTTATTGATGGAGAAACTGAGGCACGGGGAGGTTAACTAGCTGTCAAGGGCTTGTGGGTGGTGAGTGGAGAACCAGAAAACATGGGCATCAGGCTCCGGAATCCACACACCCAGATTACACTCTCTTCCCCTCAGTTGGGGCCAGGGTCCTCCCGCAGGGTCACCGTGCACTGCAGGGGACGGCTGGCAGTGTCTGGAGACACCTTCCGTTGCCCAACTACAGGGGGCGTGGTGGCGAGGGAAGCCCCCAGTGATCCCACAATGCAGGGGACGGCCCCACTGCGAAGACCCACGAGGCCAGAGTGTGAGCGAAGGAGACCCTGGCTTAGGCGTTTCCTGTCAAAGGGAAGGATGTGGCCCGACAGTGTTTTTTTAATATTTTATTTTTATAAGTATTTTTCAAGATGGGAAACAGTGTTCTGAGCGAGTGTTTCAGCTTCCTGGGAAAGCATGTGTTCATCGCACGGGCGTACATTGCGCCCCGCTGTCGGCCAGGTGCAGGCTGGTGTCTGAGCGTGCAGCGGGGCACAGGCCTGGGGTGACCTTCACTCAGCACACACCTGCTGTAGAGTGTCTGCGTTGCACTTTGGGGGTCACTTGCAGGATTCTTGGGGGCGGGTGTTTTGGAGCTGGACTCTGCGCTCATTTGACATGTGCCTGTGGGATGACAGTCACTTTCAACATCAGGCAAAGGAGAATGTGACCACAGCTGTGCATTTGCCTGAAGACGCGTGAGGCCTGGCAAAGCCAAGAGCAGGAGGGCTTCATGTTGCTGCGTGTTGGTTTATCTGACCCCCGTCTCCTCAGTCCGCAGGCGCAGGAGTTGCGACAGTGAGGGCAGGTTCGCCTTCTCAGAGAGTCAGGGCTTCCTTTGTGCAAGTGGGTTTTGGTGGTAGTCACGTGCAAGTGGGAGGTGGTCCTTGCTACTGATACCCTTCACTTGTGCGACAGTTTAACCAGTCAGCAGTCGCTGCCACAGGCACGGGGTCCCCTGGCTGCGGTGTGTGGCCAGGAGACAGGCCGACTGAGTGCAGGCAGCACAGGGCCTCCGTCTCCTGCCTTCTGCGCCGTGTCCATGCCGCCCCTGCACTGGTCACGGGGCATTTACAGCTGGGCCGGGAGCCAGCAGCTCCTGGCAAAGACCTTGCTTTCGACTGGTAAAATTTCATAGCAAGTTTATGCTCTCCACATTTATTCTCTTCAAAATAATTGATAGGGAAGAAATATTCAAATTTTATCATCTACATGTCAGTGATTCAATATTTTCTACTTTGGTTGGGTACGTAAACTTTTAGGAAGTCCTCCCTCCCCTTTGAACAACTCTTGAAACATCTGGCTGTTTCCCTGATTAAGTAATTTTATGTTTTCCTTGATCCTTTCTCACCTGTTGACAGATGTCTCATCTATTATTGGCTTATGGTTTTAATTATAACTTTGTGTGCTCTTCTGAGATGAA